CCCCAAAACCCCAAAACCCCATCAGTCGCTATTTGTGTTATTAGAAATTATTAAACAAATTAAATATATTCTGCTAATTAACAAAAATATATAATAAAATATCGAATTAAGATTAAAGATAAAGAGGGCATGGAATAGTTCCGATAAGGCTAGTACCTTAAAGATATGGGCAATCTTTCAATGAATAAAAGTTTTGCAATTATCAACTCAGAAGAACTTTTTAAAAGCAGAATGCAATTGATATAAGTTATATATTTGAAAATGATATCTAGACGAGTGAAAAGGGATAAATTCAGGTAAAATAATTTTAGATTATCGTTTGCTATTTCAGATGTCAAATCAATGAATTCAATTAGAAATGTGAGAATTGAAGTAGTCTGCCTCTTGGAAGCTCCTTAATACTCTAACTAATATACGTACTTTAACTATTATCATACCATACAATCTAATAGGCTACTTTGGTAGATCAGATTAAATGAGGTACAAAACATAATTCTAGAAGAGGTTCTGTAAAACTATGTAAAATCCAAATCCTTGTGTGACATCCTAGTGCATTTGTTAGTTATTTATGGATGTTAAAATTACTTAGACTCATAAAACTGCTCTTATGTTAAGACTCAACCATTGTGAAAGACTTAGCCTCAAATCTAAGGGTATGTTGTTGAAATCTGAGTCCCTAAACATTCATCAATATCTGCTACTAAAGGAAAAGAGTCAAAACTCTCTTTGTCGACTATTTTAGGGGCTGGAGGTAAAATGTTGGAACGTTTTTAACTTTGGGTGTTGTAAGTTCATACCGAGGGTAAATTTCAATATCAAGAATAAAGTTCCATCCACTATCCTATGAGTCTAATAAGTTTCATCTAGCAAAAGACATAAAACAAGTTTTTCAAGAGTTCTTCTTATTTAAATGAGAAGTCTCATAACTTTTGACATTTAATGATTATTGATCGCAAAGTTAAAAATTAAAGAGAGTACTTCAAAGAGATACATAGTGAAAAATTAATGTTAAAATGTCAAATGAATCTTTCACGATTCAATGATATAAATGTGATAGCACAATAGTTTGAATTGATAAATGATACAGGAAAAGAATTATAAAGTAAAATTAAACATGATTACACTATTTATTTTTAACTAATATTTTATGTATATCTAAATTTAATTTTCTATAATTATGATCCAATCTTGTTGCTGGGGTTTTGGGGTTTTGGGGTTTTGGGGTTTTGGGG